TACAAGAGAACATTCTTCTTACTTGGATGATGATATAAGACCAATCTTTTCTTTTTCTTTTTTTTTTTTTTTGGTGGTGCTGGGAATTGAACCCAGGGCCTTGTACATGCAGGGCACGCACTCTACCAACTGAGCTCTATCCTCAACCTGCTGTTTTTAACTGTGAGTCTCAACTTCTCTCTCCCCTGACTCTCCCTCTGTCTTTCTTGCATTACTTGAAGCCCTCACTGCTCCATATCTCCTTTATATCTCAAGATAAGATCAAGATTTCTGCACAGTATTCAGGTTTGTCTCTCCAGCCTCATACCTGACGGCCTCCTTCCTGTCCTACTGCACAAGTACTCCAGTTACCAGAACCACTTTCAGTTTCTGAGCAATACCACGCTTCTTCCCTCTTTCTGCCTTTGTACATGCTATTTGTCTAACTAGAATCCAGGTTCTCCCCTCCCTAATTATGAGTATATCCATAACATCATATCTTTATTTATTCCTGTGACTAACCACATCTTATCATAAATTTATCTCTCTTCCCTTTTAAACACCAACTTGTGAGCAGAGACCATGTGCATTTTATTCACCATTGAACTAGAGCCTACCACAGTGCTTGGTATATAGTAGGTGTTCAGTAAATTTTTGTTTAAGGCTCAGTTGAGTTTTGTTGTCACTCAGCTTGCTTTACATACAAAGAAATCTCTTGACCTTTGAATTTATTGATGGAGAGCATAGAGCAGAGAAGAAGATTGTATCCTCGGAAGTTTCATAACTCTGCAGACTCAGCCCCTTATGGGTTAAAGGTAGCACAAAAGAGCTGTGCTCTCATATGAGTCTACATAGTGCTGTTTTTCTCATTTAGCACTAAATCAAGTAGCATTCTATGCCAGGAAATCAAAAGAAAGAAAAATTATCCTCTTTAAGTGGTAAAGATGATCGTGGGGTTTTCCATCTGTAGGTAATTATTTTAAATTATTTTAAACTTTGCCCCTTATTTTTTATGCAATTAGGAGAAGATTGTCTGCTACATTAATCCCACTTGCTTGAATGTTCATTGTTGGTGTTTAACTACAGTACACAAGCTTCACAAAGGACGTTCACTGCTACATTTCCACTGAAAAGGTGACTTAAAACTGTTCCTCTTTAAAATATTCACACACACACACACATACACACACACACTTTTTTTTTTAACACTACTATGGATTGAGCCCAAGGGTGCTCTATCACTGAGCTATTCCCATATCCCTTTTTATTTTTAATTTTGAGACAAGGTCTCACTGAGCTACCCAAGCTGGCCTCAAATTACAATCCTCCTGCCTCAGTCTCCCAAGTAGCTGGGATAAGATATGTACCATTATACCTGGTTTAAACTATTTCTTTTTAAGTGTGTGTATCCATTGTCTTTCTCAAATACTATTTACCATCAATGCATCCTCAAGTTGTATGGATAAGAAAATTTTCAGATGGTAACAGAGTTTTCAGTTAAAAAAATTTCTGGGATTAAGAAATATAATCTTAGCCAGGCAGGAGGATTACAAGTTTGAGGCTAGCCTGGCAACTTAATGAGACCCTGCCCTGCCCCTCCCCCCAAATAAAAGAAGAAAGAAAGTCTTAGTGTGGCATAGGGGGAATCACCCAATGCAGCAACCATTTATATAGATTCATTGCCAAGCTTTTTACTTGCATCATCTCTGATCTCTACATACCTCAATGGGTGGGTGATATTGTTCCTGTTCCCAGAGGAAAGAACTGAGGCTCAGAGAAATGTCTTCGTCAAAAAATGTCTTGACTATCATGACCTATAAATGGCAGATATGAAATTTGAAACTTTATCTCTTTGCTCCAAAGTCCCTGTTCTTGGCAGTATGTTTTTCCTTTGTGGTAAAAGCACCATCATGTTGTCAGGCATTGGGTGTTTGCACCTGTCATTTCAGAACACTGTCCTTTGTATGTAACATGATGATACATTAGCTGATGGGCCACCCCGATAACACTCGTCCCACTCTTAAATTGGTGATCATAGAGAGCATTCACAGAATTTTGAGATTTTAACTTAAGTTGTTGCAAGTCTTTCCAAAAAGACCAAATGATGAGGAACTGCCAACACAATGAATCTACAATTGTGTTTCCCAGAGTTCTATAGACATGGCATAGCGCATGGGCCATATCTTGTTATTGGCTACTGTTAGGATTATACCACTTTGGCGGATGCTAGTATAAGCTTTTTCTCTGAGCATTTTTTCTCAGACTTTCTCCCAACTTCCAGAATCATCTCAGCAGGTAAGTCCAGGACCTTCTAGAGGATAGCCTGCAGGGAGAAAACCCAGGTCCATATGAAGCTTAAGAAATGGTGTTAGGTCAGCACCACCAAAAAGAAAAAAAAAATGGTGTTAGACTGGTGACATTAGACAGGTCCTCCAAAATGAGAGTTTTTTTTTTTTGTTTTTTTTTTTTTTTAGAATAAGACATAACCCAACAGCCATATCTTCAGGGACATGTGACTGAATTAGTTCTAATGTTCTAGGGAACCAAAATTTCAGGTCTTATACAGATGCCTGTGAGGTAGCCACTGTATGAGATTTTATCCAGCATGGTCTCTATTGTTTGCATTCTGTCTATGCTGAGGAAGGTGACAAGGATTTGAGAATGTCTACCTTAAACTCCCTGAAAATCAACCACCAAGAAAACCAGCAATCTTCCTAAGATTATCCCAAATCCCGTGATTTAAAACAAGACTGAGATCCCCTTTTGAAAATAGAGTGTATGAGGCCAAGAGCAGAAGCAGAGAGGGAGATCATTTGGGCAATTACTATTCTAATCCAAGGAATGATGGTTGGTTGCCCCTGAAATGGCCCCGGAGATGGCCGAAGAGATGAGTTAAGACCCATAAGAACAAGAGATCTGCAGATGAGTTGAATAAAAGGATTAATAGAAAGAATAATGAAGGTTTTGTCTGAACAACTACAGTGATAATGGGACCATGAGTGAAATGTGGCAAACTGGGCTGGGGCAGTGGCTCAGTGGTGGAGTGCTTGCCTAGCATGTGTGAGGCACTGGGTTCGATTCCCCGTACCACATAAAAATGAACAAATAAAATAAAGTTGTTGTGTCCATCTACAATTGGGAAAAAAAGTCATAAAACTGGAAAAAAAAAGATGTGAAAAACTAAGGAACAGCAAGTTTGGAGGGTAGCGTGGTGAGCTGGGGGAGGTTATTGAGGAAGAGCAGAATCAAGAGTTTTCCTTCAGGTATATGTTTGATATACCCATTGGCTGTCTGGATGGGTAGTTGGATGTAAAACTTTAGAATCCCAAGGGAGAGAGTGAGAGAAAGCTGAGAGGTCAAGTGGAGAGTCATCAACACGTAAGTAATATTTAAGGTCCTAAGACTGGAATCACTTTCCTGAGGACAGAATGTAAATAGGGAAGAGAAAGGATACAAAGAATTAGCCCTGGGACACATCAACCCAAAGAGGAGGTGGCCTTAGCAAAGGCTGTTTAGAAGGAACAGTGCATTGGGAGAGGGGAGAAAAACTGCAGAATGGTGTGGTGTTGTGCAAGTCAAGGTAAGAAAGTGTGTGGAGAAGGGGATGGTCAGCTGCAGTCAGGGCTGTTGCTAAAGGGTCCCGTGGAATAAGCTCAAATTATTGACCTTGGCAAGATGGAAAAGATGGCGACCTTGAGAAGATCCATCACTGGGGCGGACAGGGGTGAGAGCTGAGCTGCAGTGGGTTGAAGAGAGAATGAGAGGTGACAAAATGGAGACCAGTGCAGACGGTGTATTCATAGTTGTGGTTTCTGTCGCCCTGTTAGCTAGCTATTTGTCGTGTTGTTGGAAAGTCTCCAAAATCTTAAGCTGTAAAACAGTGGACTGAAAGTTACACACATTTCTAGGGAATTTGATCTTCTGTGTCTACATGGGAGGATCAGGCTTTCATGGAGTCCCTTGATGTTTATCCATGCTGTCTTAGCTCTTCTTTGACACTAATTGCTTGAGTCTGTCCCCTTCAATACATTAAAAGGAGATAAAATAAAAACTCACATTTAATAGAGCACTTCATATGCTGTTTAAAAGGTATATTTGCTCATTTAATTTTCACACTGCTTCTTCTAAATTCCAGGCAATCCATTTATAATTACCTTGTACTTAAGTTGGGGGAGGGAGTCCCCGTGTTTCAGCAAAAAAAAAAATTAATTTTCTCTGTGTTTGTCTCTTCTCAGTCAAATGCAAAATACCAAAAGCTTAAATGGCAGTGTTGGGATTAGAACTCAGGCAGCCTAGGAGCTCTAGACCCTTGATGCCAATCAACAAACTATCCTTTAATTCCAGGCAAATGGAAGGGGTACTTCAGAAGGAAAAGCAGATGGCATCTGATCAAACCACTATTGGCATAAAATCACATAAAACTATAATGCATTCAGCTGGAATTGAAAGCTGTATCCTGGAAACCCCTGATAGTTGTGTGTGTGTGTGTGTGTGTGTGTGTGTGTGTGTGTGTGTGAGATCTTCATAACAATAGAGGCTGCACTGATGGGATGCTGGTCTGTGCATTACTCTCCCCTGTCACTCATTTCCCTCTGCCAATGAATTGCCCCTCAAAGTGGAATAAAAGTTCCATGTATATACACTTTTCTTTTGGAAAGCTTCTTAATATTTTTCTACCTGAGAGCCATGAAAACCCCTTAGTGGTTGTCTTTATTATCTTTCAGACTGTCTCTTTTTTGGGTTGGGTCAAAGTGAGAATAAAGGATATTTCCCGAGGAATAAGCCCATAAGAGGATACATCGTCCTTTAAATTAGAAAGGCCTACCTCTCAATGGGTGCCTGGGAAGTGCTGTAGAACTGAAATTGTTTTCGTTCAGATTTTGTTAATCTAAAAATGACAACATAGAACATAGCCAGTGGCATGGGCATTTCACTGTGGATGATGCGGCTCTAATTGGTATGTACAGGGCATGCCTGTGGAATTAGTCCTTGCTCTCTGGGCCAATCGGATCACTTTCAGCATTTCTCAATGCTTAGTTTCATCTTATAATTAAGTAACAGTGATCATTTCCTGGCAGCTAATGACTGGCTAGAGGAGTTAGAAGCCTCATTAGGTTTATAATTTATCGAATTCTAAGCTCTTCATCTGCAGTGTTGCAAATAGAGAAAGCATCTCAAGTTCCAAATGATAAAATAAAATCGCCAATAGTATTTCCTACATGTGAGAGTTAACTTGTTCTTCAAAAGTTGACTTTACTTTCCGAGGTTTTAAATATATATAGAGAGAGCCCAACTATATTAACATGTATACACACTTTAAAATGAAAGTGAGCTGGGGAGATAGCTCAGTTGGTAGAGTGCTTGTCTTGCATACACAAAGCCCTGGCATCAATCCCTTTAGGAACCTTCTTGTGGCATTTCCACATCTTTCCCCGAGAGTAGTTTCAACTCTCCATTAATTCTAGAATCATTGTATTTACCCTGCAAATATTTATTGAGTACCTATTATGTACCAGGCATTATTTCAAATACAATATACAGCAAGACTAGGGGAAACGGACAAAACCTGTTCTTCTTGAGCTGATATTCTAGTCTTAAGATTTCTGTCTTTTCAACTACCCAGGAAGACTACAATTAGATGTGTTCAAAGTGGCCAAGCTAAAGGTAGACGAGGACTCTAACTGTGTCACCCTAGTCATGCTGCCTCTGACTGTCCTCTCTCATTGATGTGGTCATTGGGTGGTAGCACCATCTTCTGCTAACTCAACGATCACTCACTCATTCATCAACCCAATAGGGGGAATTATAATCTTCCCTTTAGAGAGAGAAGAAAGTGGAATCTCTTCTCCTAGGAAAGCTATTGCCTACCTCTTCATTTTGGAATCTGACAGGAGCTGGTCAGGTTTTGTTTTTTTGGATTGAGCCCAGGGGTGCTTTACCACTAAGCCACATCCCCTTTTTAAAATATTTTATTTAGAGACAGGGAATCACTGAGTTACTTAGGACTCACTAAGTTGCTGAGGCTGGCTTTGAACTCAAGATCCTCCTACCTCAACCTCCTGAGCTGCTGGGATTACAAGTGTGCACCACTGTACCTAGCAAAAACAGTAGTTTCTAATCCCTTAATGAAAACATTCATTTCTACATCTTGGTACAAAGACAGCCAGACCTGCCCTCCAGGCTCTAGAATTCTAGAAATGTGGAATTTAGAGAACTGTGATTCTTCTAAAGGCCTTCTATCCTGCTTAAATCAGGTAAAGACCTCTGGAGAAAAGGAACACCATCCTTTTATAGCTACTCACCCTTGGACTTTGATCAGAGTCACTCCTGAGAAATCCTCAAAGATCTTTTCCCTCCAGGCTCCTGGTGGTACATACCTATAATCCCAGCTACTTGGGAGGCTGAGGCAGGAGGATCGAATGTTTGAGGCTAGCCTGGGCAACTTAGCAAGACTTCGTCTCAAAATAAAAAAATAAAAATGTTCTGGGAATATAGCTCAGTGATAAAGCACCCTAGGTTCAATGCCTAATACAAGAAAACAAAACAGAAAAATTTAAAAAAAAAAGAAATAACAAACAAAATTTTCTCTCCAGATTCTCATGATTTCCTTAAATCAGAGTAACCTCAGGTGCTCAGAGAAACTCCATGGCTCTCTGACCATAGGAGCAACTCAAGATATGTGATTCCTTGGATCATCAGGGGTGGCAGAAGCACACAGCAGAACTCCACAGAAACTTCTGGTGTTTGATTTGTTAATCAGATCAATCCTAAAATGCTGGCAGGAGAGAAACTACTCTTGTCCTGTGTATAATCTGTGGGTGTTCACCATGGTGCCCCTGTGAAAGTTAGCCTTCTGGTCCTTGGTTGTAGACTTTTGCAATAAGAACAGGAATAATGCCTCATGAGCCTAAATCCAATTCTTTAAAGTGGTTCCTGAGAACCCTTTTTAATTTCTGACCACTTTGACCTGAGCACTGTTTATAAACATGCAGAATGTGTGATTGTTGTCCCCCTTTATTTTGTCAGAAGCTTATTTTCTTCTATGGACATTCTAAAATTTCAAGACACTACTCATTATTTTGGTTGAGGTGCCATGTAACATATATTTGAAGAAACACCCACCTATTTTAAAATCTTTTAGCAGACTTCACAACACAGATTCCTGTTTCATAAATACCCCCACCAGTAGGAATCCAAGAGGAAACAAATTGGTCATTATTTAATGGACATTCTGAATGATCACTTTCACATAAAGTCCATCTGGAAACTCAGAAGTAGACTTTTACTTGAAGATAAAACTATCAGTAAATTTAAATCACCATTCCTAATGTGTCTAGCAGTCCCATTTACCTGTAATGATGGTCTTTGAGTTCATTCCTGGATGAGAGCAAAGATACTTCTATAATATACACTTTTAAGTAACCAGTTTTCTGATCAGGAGTTTGATGGTGCCTCTCTGAATGAGCATACCATGGAAAGATCAGACCATAGAGTCTGAAACCAAACCCCAAACTGCTCTATTTCCCCCACCCTCCCTTTTTTTTTTAGGTCTAATGAAAACATAGAGATTGAGGGTGTGGCCCCACCTGGTAATATCTTCAGGAGTGGAATTGTGGCAGTAAAAAGAACATCAGAGCAATCATTATGTTTTGAGAAAAAGCGAGGCTACTTTGAATGATGGAGGCTCCTTTTCTCTTCTTCATAGGAGAAATTCTGTGTTTCCTTTACAATGTGGGGGAAGAAGGATCTGCCCAGGGTCCTCAGAAACTGGTGGTGCCCCACAATTACTAGCCAGCCACGAGAGATTTGCTAAAGGAACAACTAGAAAATTCTACCCAGAATGCCAAATCTGTGCATTCAAAGGGCGAATCCAAGCTTTGGAAGTTGTAGGAATGTCTTCAGTCAACACTCCTCAATAGTTTGCACTGTGGAAACACCCTCCTCACTAGGCCTAGGGATTAGGAACCAGCACCAAGGACTTCAGCCTGGCTGAGTCTGAGAGAGTACCCTGAAAGGGCGTATGCATGAAGTTGGGTTCAGTGCCTCTCCTAAAATGCCTTTCCCTCCCAGGTCATGAGGTCAGGTCTGGCAGGACTGAATGACTCTGAATCTCTACAATGAGTGGCATCTGGATAGCTCAGGGGAAGCAGGCAATCCCACACACCCCACACTAGGATTGCAGGTTGGGTGAGCTGGACACCTAAGAGGATATCTTCTGGGGAAGTTGAAGAAAGCTTTTGCCAAGCCTGTTAGGTGAGTCAACAGACAGAGTCTTGATCTCTGCTTTTGTCCATCCTGATTTTTTAAAAATGACACTAACTATAAAGAAAATCCAAAAATAAATTATCTGATACTGTATATCTATATTCACAAAAGATGTTAGATAGCTGATTAATTGGTTATTTTTTCCAGTACATTGGCTGTCTTTTTACTCTGGACATGAGTGTTAAAGCAAAAAATATGTTCAGTCAAAATCCTCTCTAAAAAGGGCTTAAAGGTTAATATCTGGCATACAGTGGGATCAGGCCAAGTGAGCTCAAACTTTAAATGGGAAAAAAAAAAACTTTAAATGGTATGATTCATCCATGAAAACCATCTCTTTTCATTTTCTCCTGAACTTTCATCTGCAAAGTTCTAAAGTGATCTTCAGGAAAAGGGCAGTATAGCTATTTTTTTAAAACAACAAATTCAAGACAAATACAGAAATGAAATGGTCTCGTCTAACCCGCAAGTTCTCCCCACAGTCTGACCATAGGCAATGAGTTCTCCATGGATCAGACCAAGAGAAAGAGTTCATTCACTGCTTCTGAAGATGCTAAAGCTTTTGCCAATCCTAAAAGTGACCTCACTTTTTTGAGAGGAAAGGACATTTGGTCTTGGATTTGTAAGCCCTTGCCTTTTGTAGATACTGAAGTGGGCTTTGGGGAAGACAGAACCACTGTTATCCACGCATGTTTGTAAGGCAGCCAGATCTTCGGGGGTCACAGAAAGTAACGTAACTGTTTTCACCTTTGCTGGCACCCCAAGTAGGCAGCTGGCTCCATTTGCAGGGGGACATTCTAAACAATCTGAAACAGAAAATTCAGTAGCCCTTTCCTGAGTACCTAATAAATTCACGCATAACCTCTGGTACCTACTCTTCAGGGAAGAGCCCCTGGTATCACGAAGCCCACCTGAAGCGAGGATTTCTCCAAGACTTGCTTGGGTCCCATCTCGCTTTCCTTTCATGCTCACAGCAGGGCTGATTACTGCAAATTGGTGATGAGGCAAGGTGGCTGGCTGGGAGGTGCTCCTACCTGGGGGTGTTCTGTTGTTTTTACAGCCAGTGCCAGCTCTGAGTGGATGGTGAGTAAGAGCCTCTTCCTCTTCCCTCTGGGCTGCTCTCCTCTCCATACCATTCTCGTCGCTGGCCTATTTCAGATATGGTGGTGAGCAAGGGCGGCTGCCTGGCTCTGGTGCTTCCCAGACTTGGGACCCAAAACTCAAGAAGGCAACAAAACGCGTAAGTGAGGCCTGCAGAGGCCTGTGCTCCCTTTTAGCTGGTATCCCTCCCTGCCCGAGGGTTTCTGGGGAAAAGTGGCCAGTGTGGAGATGGTACTACAGCACTCTTTCCTCTTAACTTCCTCCAGCGAGTAAACGGAAGTGCTCAAGGGGCACACAGGAGTGAAATTGAGCTCACCTTCCAGCCACCTCGGAGCTGGTTTTTAGTTAAGAAAGCCTTTTCTCTAAAGGAATCTTACTTCTGGAAGTTTCTCCTTTTAAATTAGAAATAACATCCTCTTGTTCATTCTTACATTTGAAAATTACGATGTAAGAGTAATTATGGTTACCCATACGTGCTTGGAGCTGGTTTTGCTATTCCCCATTCTGTTTGGGGAAATAGTGTTGGTTTTGGATCTTAGCTGCTCTCTTATGTTACATCGCTAACATTTTTGTCAGATGCTTGATTATTACAATCAGATACAGAGAGGAGTTTTCTTCCAGAGAGATCTCTACTGTTCATGCTCAAAAAATTTGTTTTATACACCCTATAGGGAAAAAAAATTCATAGATGTCTTTGATTGATTGATGTGTGTGAGTGTGTGTGTGTGTGAGAGAGAGAGGGGGGGGGATGTGGTTTGTCTTGCAGCTGTAAACTGCAAAGATTTCTGCATCTTGAAGTGTACAGATTGGTTTCTCATTTTGAAACTTGATCCTTTTCAAATTTGTAGATTAATTGAATCCAGCTTTGAGTGACACTTTAAGAAACTCTCTCCTGGAGCACCCTGAACCAGGTGCTCCAGGCTCACCTGCTGGCAGTGTTTGATTAGCAGCCAACCCAACCCAGTGTTCTTATTTGTGCCAACTCCATTCTAAAAATGTAAGTCTGCGCTTGAGAAGACTAGTCATGCTCATTATTCAGACCTCCTCCTTGGAGGGAATGTGCCAAAATCACAGAAGCAGAAAATCCAGGAACAGTGTGAGGCCTGGTATTGAGGCACCATAAAATCAGAATTTTACCTCATGAAATTGCTTTGTTCTTGGTACATCATCCTTTCCAGCGATGAGCTCACCAGCCCTCGCTCTGTCTCTGAGCGGGATGGCATCGTTGCCATCCTACAGATGGAGAATGGGAGATGCAGCTAGGGAGGCCAAAGTGCCTTAGAGCCAGTGACCTAGCTGGAACTGGAGCCAACTCGTCTGATTTCTCTCCAGCCTGTTGCTGTCTGAGAAATGGCAGCTTAGGAGAGGAGTGCTAGGGGACAAGTCACAATTGCCCAGTGCTGCCCCAAAACCATCTGTGTTAGAGTTACCACCCAGAGACCAGGAGAAACCAGTGAGTCAAACCAGAGGGCTACATGGAGGCATTCAAGGATAATGGGGAAGAAGGTTAAAAATGAGGAAAGTGAGCACCTAAATCCAGGAATGTAGAGAACATGCTGGAATATCCTTTTTCGGTAGACTGCGATGCCTCTTTGAACTGTGGACTGAAATATGCTAGATAATATCTGTTATACAGAAAGTATAGAGTGTCCTCCAGTAGGAAAGAGTAATCAAAGTAAAACTAAAGCATAAATTTAAATCATTGATTAAGTATTTATTGAGCGGCTCCCATGGCCCAGGTCCTATAATATTCACCTTTGTATCTTCATTGCCTCTCACATGATAGGTAGATGGGATGGATGGGCCTACCGATGTTCAGGTGAACACACATTTCTCATGAGGTTTTAAAGATTTAAAGACTCCTGTCTTCTTCCTGCTCTTCCTTCCTTGGGACAGACCAGACCATCCAGCAGACACCTGTCTCACCCCTCCCAGAACCGCCCACTCACAGGAAGGAGAATTTCCTTAATGAAGGCAAGTAAACACCAGCCTGTGAGCCCAAAGGGTGGAAGCCCTCATGTACTTTTACCCTGATTGAATCAGGGAAAACTGTGTCAGGAAGAAGGACACACCCTAACGACTCACCCAGGTAACATCTGCATGTCACAGGCTGGGTCCAAGCAAGCCAACACAGAGGTATATTATTCCTCCTCCAGGCAATCAGAGCAAATTTGCCTTCTTGGTCTTCAGAGTTCCACTGTCCTACGTTCGCTGTCTCTTGAGCTGTCCTCCTGAGATCCCAGCTTGTCCCAGATATAAACAGTCAGGATCTATGAAGGGCACACCAACCACCCTTATTTATTGAATGCCCTCAATGCATTGGCCTCACATCAAATGCAGAATTAGATTACTGTACCTGACCAGTCGGTTCACATTTTAAACAAATAAATAGGCAGATAGAGGTGAATTAAGTAGAAAGGAAGGTGGAAATATACTCCAGGGAGAGGCTGGTGCTGGGGAGGGGAAACCGGTCAGAGCTGGTCATTTTGTGAGCCTAAGTAGGACAGGATCTTAAACTATTTCAGATCCAGCTCCTTGTTTTTGATCAGCCAGAGGAAAGGCAAATTTGGATGGGAGGCAAAAGATGAGCCACACACTTCAAGCCTTTCATGTCGATTCATTCCTGGGTGATTGTTTCCATCTTTGGACACAGTGTGCTTTTGTATGTGCAAACCATGGCTAGCAACTGTTTTTGTACTTTCTGACTCTTCTAATAGACATGAGCTCAGTGGGAGCAAGAAGTTTGTTTTCTCCGTCTGAATTCCCAAAGCCTAATCAATAAATGCTTGTCAAATTGATACATGATATCCTTAACTCCCACCCCCAAAGTCACATAACAGGGTGGGGATGATTATAATTGAGTCTCAAATGAGAACTCGGTCCAGGATGTGAGGTGCTTTAGGAATGCAAAATAGAAGTAATTGGATTTGAGTATCAGACAGACTTCTTGACTTTAGTATTACTCCTCCTGCATCTTGAGATAGTGGGATTAAGAGTGGAAGCAAAGGCTCAGACCAGAGTGGCTGAAGCAGATCACTGCATCACAGTGAGGCCAGAATGAGAAGGGACAAAGGTGGTTGAAATGTCAATTCTGGGCAGTGGAAAACCACTGAAGCTGTTTAAGCCAAACAGTAAAGAAGAAGAAGGAAAGCTCAGAAGAGCTGACTCTAGCATGCCAGGCAGGAGAGGCTGGAGCCTGCGGTGCTAGAGGCAAGGAACCTGCGGAGGAATATATAGCAACAATCCTTGCACCACACATTGAGAGTCTGGGGAAATGAATTTCAAGATTGTGGGGTATTTGGGTGGGGGAGATGGAGATAGGTATATCATTGGTATCCACTGTTTTCTCTCTAACTGAGGATCAAAAGAATCATAGCATGAAATAATCAAAACACTTCATTGAGGGTTTGCAATGGGCCGGTCACTGTTGAAAGCATTTTGTGTTAGTATCCCAATTCAGCCTCACCCCTTTGAAGGACTATTATTAGTTCTATTTGACAGGTAAATCAGCTGAGGCACAGGGAAATTTGGTAACTTGCCCAAGATCAGATGGTAAGATGTAGAGCTAGAATTCAACAAGGATGTAAGACCACATAGGTCCAAGCCTTAACCACAAATATCTACTTCAACAGGTTTGTGGGAGGATTTATGGTATGATGAAAGAGATTCTAAAAAGTGATGTGTGTTATCATCATTTTGAAAGGAGATCAGAGGGGCATTTTCTGCCTCGGCTTATCTACCATCATTATTAATTACCTACTCCAGTTTAAGGAGATCGGTACACAATAAAATTTAAAATCTGTGACAGGATAATGTTGCTTTTTCTTTTGCCTTTTAAACATTGTCATTTTTTTTTCATTTGAAAAGGAATGATATTTATTATAAAAGTTTAACTCTTATAGAAATAAAAGATATAAAGAGGGAATGGCCCATGTCATCCTAATGGCCCCCCAAATCGTCATCCATTGTTGGTGTGGAGATTTTTCCAGCTCTCTTCTTTCATGTACGCTGATGTATTATCATCACTTGTGTTCATATAATCCTTCCCAAGAGTGATCATACTGTTTTGTAACGTGTTTTTCCTTTGATAAATAACACCTATTTCCTTGTCAGTACATACAGTTTAATCTTATTTCCTTTAAAGTTATTTAGGATTCACTTTCACTTTTAGCATCACCCATGGGATTCATGTTCTTTTCTAATCAGCGGAGCAACAGATCTGATGTGGCTTGGATTCTTGCCTCAATGCCACTTGAGTTCCTTTGTGTCTTAGGACTCAAGGAGAAGGAAGCTCAAATGGGACTTGGTTGTCTGTTTGTGAACATAATAGAAGCTAGAGTTTGCCTAGTACTTACTATCAGATGTCAATACTGAGGCCTAGAGAGGTGAAGCAACTTACTTGCTTAAGGTCATAAGCTAGAAATTAGGAAGTTTGAGCTTGAACCTTGGCTCTTTAGAGCCTGAATATTTAACAGCATACTGTCCTTTTATTGCTTTTACAAGTCTTCTACTTCAACTGACTTAAATGCAGTGGTTTCCATAGCAACATGTGGAGTTCAGTTGTAGAGTAAAAGTCAATAAAGATGAGCTTCACGACTGCCCTGTATGGCACACTAGCAGCTGAAAAGGGGGAATTGTCAGGAAGAGCCTCTTCATTTCTGCTACTTCTTCCTACAGCCTCTCTCCTCAGGTCAGAGTTGGCCTGGAACTTGGAACGCTGCCCATCAGTGTCCCCAGAGGATGCCTCTAGGATTTGAACCTCATTTAACATCTATCTTGCTGATGGAGGCCATGAGTGGAAAGTTCCTGAAGGTTCCTGGTTGGTGTGGTGATAGAGCGGCTGCATCTATCCACCCACCCCGCAAAACCCACAGGGAAATTTCCAGAAAGCTTATTTAAGTAGTTGAGCAAGGAAGATCCTTAAAAGGACCTTGGTTTTTTAATCTAAGTGAACCAGACTGGTTTAACATACAGTCTCTTTTTAATTGAGTAGCGTGAACTCTCTCCTTAGTGGTGTGCTGGGAAAGCCTACGCAAAGACGGATGAGATGAACCCCACACTGCTACACCCCTGATACCATTAGTAATTGAATCACTTGGTTGTACCAAGTTTGTTGCACCAAATTATTTCTTCTTAAAT